TGTGCAATAAAATGTTTAAAATAGTTTTAAGAACTTGTTACATGGCTCAAAGGTATGTCACTCTAGGGCAAGATTATCTCTGATCAGCACTATCCAGCTCCTGTTCCATTAAGGTATGGCCATTCTCCACTGATGTGCTGCCCAAGTTGAAGTCCTCCAGTATCCCAGGATCTCTTGAACCCCAGCCCATTGAGCAGGGATAGAAGCCTGTCCTGGCTCACCAGCCCTCTAGTGGCAACCCACAGCTACAGCTTAGTCCTGCCCCTGCTCACCAGGCCTCTAGGGGCAAGTCACAGTTCTGCAGGTGGGGGCAGTCAGAGAAGATTTCTAGACCCAGGGCATGACTGCTCCAAACTCCAAGCTAGCGTGAACACTGATCAACATTAATGCAGCTCACGGCATAAGGTGCAACAAGGCCCCTATACTACAAGCAGCTTTCTGGATAGAAAATTACATTACTGCTAGACATGAACCCTGTATGCAGTGTAATAAAGAACTTCAATTACTGGGGGATTAACTTTATCAAAAAGGAAGATAATTTTAAATTAGTGACCGTGTGCCAGATGCTCTCCAGCCCCCTCACCCTCTCCACCATGGAATTATATATCACGCAATTGCATAGGACTCTGACCTTGTTAGATGCTCCGCTCTAATTTAGCAGCCAGGAAACTGATTAGTGGCCAGCAATTTCAAGGCTGATTTTCATGTTTCTTTACCAAGGAAAAGAGGATTATTACTGAACCTTCAAATGTAATACCAAAAAGGTAAACTCCAACCCTGTTCAAAAGATGCCAAGGTCTGAAACCTAAATGCACTTAAGGCACTTCCATACACGTTTGACTACAGCACCCAAGACCAGAAAGGGCTGTAACTTCACAGCCCAGTGTTTGGTGTTTCTTGTTCAGCTAAGGTCTTCTTGGTCTCCCACTCAACATGTGCAATTTTTGGTTGGCCTACCTCTCCACCTGGCATTCCATAGGGAGACTGGGTGCCCAACACGTGTGCAGAACCTGGCCTGGAGAGCAGGTGCACCAAAATCCAATACAAGATCAAGCCCTGTGGGCAACATTTCTTTCAAGTATTAGACATGGTAGCCTGCTGTGCAATGGATTTTGTATTTTACATAATGCTAATAAGTACGGTCTTTCCTTAAACAATTATTAACAAATCTTTCTGTTCTTAGGAAGCCCCTAAAAATGTAATGGGCTCAAAACAGTCTATCCATAAATCCATAAAATTAAATTCCTTGATGGGTTTTGTCTAAACCATTTTTTGGACAAGAAAAATTAAGCTGTTCCAATTTTAAGGCTAAAATACAAGCCACTCTAGAACTCTTCCATCATCTACACTCCATGTTAAGGCATATTTGAATTTTCTATATTATATATAACTTGCATTATTTGAAGAGGACAGTTTCCTTCTGCCAACACTTCCCATTCACTTTAAAAGGAACCTAGGTGCCTAAGATTTGTTTTCATGAAACCCATTTTCAGAATAAGTGGGGGAGATAGTTTTGGTAGAGAAATAGCAGACATTTCTAAAGTGGTGCTTAACACAAATGGACTTCCTTTGCTACATGTTCAGTTACTCTAGAAAGATTATAAATCAATTTTGTTATCTTGTTGCAGATCAAGCAGAGATCATGTTCCTAACTCCCCAGACAACATACTGAAAAGTAGCAGAATCTTTGCTTTGTACTTTTCACTAAGCAATTCTGAAAACCTTGCATTCAGGAGGGACTGAAGTCTAAAAATGTTGGAATAAAAGCTGTATTGTAAGAATCCAAGACTATTTTAGAACAAACAGATACTGAATCTCATTCTGCATGGCACTAGTTGGTATTACAGTCAGTTATTTTCAGAAAACTGAGGTCATTTGACTTTCCTTGAAATAAACGGATTGTGCTAGAAAACGAAAAAACAAAGGAGCTCTCATACTACTTTTCCCTCATTTCTCACTTCTTTAATGTGGTGGCACATGAAAGGTTAAATAGACTTTTTATGGGTCAACTTATTTACTGAATTTATTCATAGGTAAGTTCTTTGCAATGCATTTACAAAAATGCAATAAAAAAGTTGTTAAATGGTAAATACTTCCCTGTCTGCATACAGAGAAGAATTCGAATTGTGTGTCAATAATTTCAGTGGGTAGACTACAAAGGGATTTTAACCAGAAGAGCAACAGTCAGAGTGTGAGATTAATGAGATGGTTTAGGGTAGGGTGTATGGGTTAGTGTTTTGCTGAATCAAGCACAGAATGCCATTACTTCAATGGTAAAGCTAAAAATGCCATTTTGGACCCTTGAACAGGCATGTTAAGGGTACAAAAACCATGTTCTGAGTCTATATTCAAATCATATTCCTTTATGAAGTTCAAACTGCAATCAAATCAAGCATTAACTCAATATGGAACAACATTCAAATACAAAATGGCTTTACTGCTAATGCAATCTTGGTCACGTGGACAGTCACGTAAAGATGGGTTATGAAAGAAGTTTTGTACTGTGATCAACATTAGCAAGAGCTAAAGGGTAAAATTTATTTCTTGCTAAATTTCAGACCTTTTCAATCCAAACATTGCAGAGTTCAGTTTTCCACAGCCAGCAGCTTAAGGCACTAAAATGGCTAAACCGTGGTAACCTTTCACTTTTCCATTTCTGTATGTATATGAGACATGCGAGACTCCAGAACTCTCCTGAAACATTAGCAAAACATTTCTTAAAATTAAAACCAGGTTTTGTTTTGTTTTAAATATGCTAAATTGCTACGTGCTGAATGACAGGGTAACAGAATAGTTCAAGGGAAGGAACCAAATAAAATTTCCCCCCTCTGGTAAATAAGAAACACCAGACATTTTACTTCTCTAAAACAATATAAGAAATCTAACTTTTGATTCATAAATGAAGGCCAGTTTTACAAGTAGGTAAGAATAATTCCACCCAGTAACTTCAGCAATTCTAGTCAGACTAGAAAGACATCCTATTATTATTAGGAATCTGGGTCTTCCATTGATCTAGAATACGTTACTATTCATCCACAGGCAATTTACAACAAGCTCTAGTTTTGGCAAAAGGGTAGCCAATTTCAGATTCCCAGACCTCTGGTCCCTTTTCTCACAAAGATCATACTAATCTTGAAATCAGCTGGCAAGCTCTGTATAGTTAAGGAAATGTCATTTAAAGATTATTTTCTGTCTCCATCTACTGGCAGAGAAGAACACCACAAGGTGCCTGTGCCAGTACAAATATAGACAAGGAGAAAACTTTATACAACAGAAGAGCCTTCAAACACAGCCAAATTTCTTAGACTACCATCTGCCATTTGTTACCCAATTGTTTTCATACTGCCACAGAAGTTGACAACAACATGTCTAGCTAATTGCAACCTTTCAGTCATGCAGAGTGTATAGTAACATATGCTGGGACTTCTGGCACTAAAAAAGTGGCAAGAATATTTCCACAAACTATCCAAAATACTCCTGTTTTCTACAAGTCTTCATTTTTCCTAAACCACGTCAACAAATTTGCTCTAAAATATTACTATATTAATGGAAGGGCAAACATTAACTATACACAAATCTGTTACCTCTGCATTTTCATTCTTTTATAAAAGACTTGTTAGGGCTGTGCAAAATTTTGGCAGCTGTTCTGTTTCAGAGGTGTTTCAGGCCATTTCAGTGCCAAAACACCAAATCTAAAATAGAAACGGAAGGCTCCGAAATGTTTCGGAAATGTTTTGGAGAATTTCGGTGTTTTGGAGCCAGGCTTGCAGGGAAACAAAAACTAAGAGGGAGGGGAAGGACTGCTTTTATACTGACATCTAGCTCCTGGTTAGATTCCCCAGCTCTCCAATTGCTTCTTCCTGGGGGGGGCGCAGGTCCCCAGTCTGCACACTGTTTCAGAAGGCCGCTGCTGCAGGCTGAGGCCAGCAGCAGCTTTTTGGTACAGCCTGTGCCGAGCACCAGGAAAACTGCAGTGCTGCCGCTGGCCCCAGCCTGCAGCAGCAGCCTGCTGAAATCTGGTGTGCAGATCCAGGGGCCCACATCCCCCAGGAAGAGCTGGGGGAAATCAAACCAGGGTCTGGGGAATCCCTACCATGAGACCTGGCTTTGCAGTGATCAGAGATCCACACCAGGGTCTCCTCCCCGTCGCTGCCCACTCCACACAGCCCTGGATCTCTGCTCCCTGAGGAGCCAGATCACACGGCAGGGACCAGCACTGCCCTGCCACGCAACTTGGCTCCACAGGGAGCAGAGATCTGTGCCAGAGTCTCTTTCCCGCTGCTGCCCACCCCATGCAGCCCCACATTGCTGGGGTAGCACAGGGAGGGCAGCAGCGGCAAGACGACCCCAGCGCAGATCTGCTCCCAGTGGAGCCAAGTCACGTGGCAGGGACCAGCAGGCTTGCTCACTGCTTTGCCCTGCTTCCCTGCCCTGCAACCCGGCATGACAGGGATCAAAGATCTGCGCGGGGGTCTCCTTGCCTACACGGAGAGCAGCGGTCCTCCCCCTCCCCCAGACAAGCCACCAACGGCCACGTCCTGCTCCCTGCTGGGGGTCCAAGCCCTGCCCGGCTGGGTAGGGTTGTGTGAAGCTTCCCTTGCAGCCCATTTAAAACAGATTTGGCCAAAATAAAAAGACAGCAATCCAAAGTACTGAAGCGAATCACTGTCCTCCAAAACAGCTTAATCCGAAGCCGAATCAAAACACATCCATTACACACCTAAAAAACACACAGGTAACTCAATGGAACAATTAACAAACTCCACATATTTTAAGAGCTGGGTGGTCTAATAACCCAAAACTAAAGGCTCTTTAAATGTATAGAAAATAAAAACTTGATAAATCTGACAAAATAACTTTTACCAAATTTGTTGCTAGGCTACTTCTTCCATGAAACAAGGTATTATATCCATAATCTATTATCCTACATGCCTGCATGGACCTCTCAGAGGTGTTGTCTATTATTAAGTAGGGAGAAAAAATAAAATTTGAGAACTCACAGGAATTGAGAACAGATAAACTTCTGGGTCCATTTCGTCCTGGAGTACCTAAAACGTTCACAAAAGAAGAGGATGTAAACTTTGAAGCAGTCTATGTTAACTTTGCGTAAAAATCAATTCTAATATATAGGAAAGCCCTTAGAAAAATAAAAAATGGGGTGGGGGAGGTCTTCCAGTACCCTTTACATATGCAACACAAATTTAGGCAGAAAAAAAACAAACAGAAACTTTGGCAAAGATCCATGAAAATGAATGCCAAAAATACATACAGTAAGTGTTAAACTGATCGTGCACAGAACACACTAGTTAAGGACCAGATATTTAAGCCTGTTATAAATGTTTCATTAAGCCAGATGGTAGTTTTACCTTTTACTGCCACCATTAGGGCATTTAAGAACGAGACCAGTGACAGTAACAATAAGCAACTTTTCACCTGCACAAATATGAAAAAGTTAAACTACATTTGCTAGCGTATAACCTGGTTATCAAGTTCAAATAGACAGACAAGAGGTACAAACCAGGTTAACTTTTAGTTTAATTCATTTGATGTTAGGGTCATATAAAATAGACATTAATATAAGTTCACCTTTATTGAGAAGGCTAAGAATTAAAATGGAGCCATTACTGGTAACCCTTGGCTGGTGCCGATTTAAAAATATTTTAAAAACAGATAGGCTTCCATAAAACAATTACTAGATCAAAATTTGTGAAAATTGAAACAAAAAATAAGAATTACGGCTTAACTCGTCAGGCTGTACATAGAAAGTGCCAAGGTATCTGTATGACTTTACAAGATATTTCAAAAACTGGAACCTATTTGCATGGTGTATTAACCAGTGTGTTTTACCCAGTGCCAAATATACTTTGGTTTTAAACTTAAAGCTACAAAGAAAGGAACCCTGTGAGCAAATCAGTGAATATCTATGACAGCATTATGTTCTAGAATTTTTCACAGAGATTCAGATCCATTTAGACTCACGTAGACAAGTCCTATTGAATTCAGTTCAAGATTAGAAAAGTTGGCAACATTCAAGACAGACTACCTTACAGGTTCCTTAGAGTTGGTCTATTTAAGTTAAACACAAGAACTATAGGGAAGAGTCAGCTCAGAGCATACATTAACATACCTGATAACCTTTACATTCATTCACTTTCAAGTGCAAATTTAGATATAGATTAATAGTTAACATTAGATGTCTGCACTCCTTTGGTTTCCAGAAAATTAGGAGGATCAATTAGTGGTCTTTCAAATGGGGACACCTTTGTGAAGACCAATTCTACTTTTAGAGTTGTTAGATTGAATTGATAACTGTAGCTGAAATGCTAGCAACAGCTGAGCTGGTGTCTGCGTGTGCATGTGTCTCTAAATTGGAGGGCTGGAAAAAGAGAAAGTAAACAAGAAAATAAGTTTACCTAATAGTTGATTGCTTCGGGCTTCACTGGTTTTCTTTGCTTGAAGCAATGTTCCTGATGAGTTGGGTAGACATTGGTTCAATGCACCAGATTTGGTCTTTGTTCCTAAAATTCCAAAAGGCTTAGGTTAAGGTTTAAGTTTACAACAAAATTGATAATTAAGAACCTACCCACCTTAAAAATGAGTTTAAAGTTGTAACATTTATTAAATATGTAGTTGCTAAACACAGATTTTCAACCACAGTGTTTTGGAAAAAGTTTTAAAAGATAGCTGAATGTGATCTACAGAACTAAGAATTAGTTTTAAGTTAAAATTCTTTACTAAATATTAAGAAACTTGATGAAAATGTGATGCTATGAAACTTAAGTGTATTAAATAGTCAGTTGTCTATTTTCTGTGAAGCCACATGACACCTACTATGGCTATGGCCTTTTTTGGAGGAAAAAAGTTTCTATCAAGTCAGATGACAACCACTAAAGACAAACAAGGTAATACACAGAACCCATTAGACCAGGGTTTTTCAACTGGTGGCCCATAAGGGGCTAGCACACAGCACAAGCCCATGCAGCTACTTCTCCCATTTCTGCAAAGTTGGGGAGGGCCCAAGGGAGGACTGCATGCCATCCATGGTGGTGTTTGGGAAGGAGGGATTAGGGATCCCAAAGTGCCATCCTCACAGCATGTGGCCCAGGTAGCGTGTAGCCTGAGAGCCACACAGAAGGTGGATCTCTGCGTATTATATTGTTCATTTACACAGTCATATTGTGACAAGTAAAGCAGTTGTATAATGGACATTGCTGGTGCTCCGAGTTATTTGCTACCCTTGATGTCACATCCCTGTACATCAGCATCCCTCCCATGAAGACTGTTTACAAGACAAAGAACATAATCCCTGAAAAGAAAATTGCTCCTATTCCCATTACTCTCCTCTGCTTTGTTCCTCACATGCAACTATTTCAGTCAGAACATGTTAAGTATGGTTTAAAACAGGGACTATGGTTTCTTATTCCATTATCTGGATTAGTTTTTGTGACTCCTTTGTTTCCATGGGTTTATTACATGATTGCCTGTCCCAGCTTTCCTGCTTTCTCTCCCCCTTCTGTCCACTTTTGTATTCCAGTTCCTTTCTCCTTCTTATAACCATCTTTGTGCACATCCTTTCACAATAACTGATGAAATAAACTACAGCCCATAAAAGCTTACACTGCACATATTTACATTTCAGTTAGTTTATAAGGTGGTGCACATCTACCCTGCCTTTAATAAAACAATCTGAAAATTACTCATTTTTCCATATGGTGCCAACTAGTGTTCACTGCATCAATTTGATGAGCATTTCTTAAAACAGCAGCATGCACAGGTCTTATAAGATAAATCAGAAACTTGAGCTTCACCCTGACTTTAGAAAGGTTCAGATACCTTTTGGAGTGCTTTTTAAAGAGTGTACTCTAGGACGGGGGACTGGCTTCAAAAAGATGGATCCAGAAGTGCCATTTTGATGTCCATTTGTTGAAGGCCATTCTCCATTCCTGATGATGATTGTGGCACTTGTAGCTATTGGGAAAAAAAAAGGTAGTATATTGTTTAGGACATTTGCCTAACTATAGTTAGGTGGCTATATTATGAAAATTTAGGTCAGGATGTCGCATGAGAAAATGTTTACAACTCCAGAAAAAAGGACATTATAGTATAAGAATCAGTCTAAAAAAGCCAAGTATCTGTCTCCTTTACATAGTTTTTGTATGGATAAGGTGACAAAAGTTATAGTTGCCAACTAACCTGTGCAATATCAAAACCCAGATTTTCAAAAACTAGACATGCAGTTCTGCTTTTTGCATACAAGTTCAATATTATAAAAAAAACCCAGTGCCCTATAATATGCATCTTAGAAATATGGGTCCACAGTTCAGACTAATGGAATTATAATTCAGAACAGTTACATTAATATTTCATTGATAAATAATACTGCTCAAAGAGACAAGGTTCTTTGGGTAGATGTAGATTTCTTTTATTAGACCAACTGAGGAAGTTGGAAAAATGTTCTTTACAAGCTTTCGGGCACAAACCCTTCTCCAGGCATAAGGAGTCTCTGCTGCTGTTCTGAGATCTCCAAGGAAGGGACAAAGCTAGAAGTGTGACAGGAGGTCAGTGAGAATATAAATAGGTGGAAATTAAGAAAACAATGGTTAGGTAAGGGAGGGAGGGAGAAGGGAGGAAATGAGGGGGAAATAATGTCAAAGGTAAGCAAGGGAGACTGCTGTAGTTGAGTTCTCCAAGATAGAAAAGAAGCAGTCTGTGAAAAAGTAAATAGCCAGAAACTAGGAAGACAAAGGGTAGAGAAGGAAGGGAGTGAAGGAAGAGGGGTAGGGGGCGAAGTAAGGCAAGGTAAAAAAAAAAAAAAAAAAAGGTAAGGTCAGGCAGGTACCTGGTGAAGCAGATGTCAGGCAGGTTGTAATGTGTTATAAATCCAGCATCTATATTGAGACAATACATTTTTTTGTATCTAGTAGATTTGTGAGGTGAAGTTCATAGGCTCATCTATGAAAAGGTCTTTTATAAGTTCCTTAGAGGATTAGAACTGAGAGATCAGAAAGGGAGTAATCATCTTGTGAGAAGTGTGTACCCACAGGTAACTGGATATTTTTCCTCTGATGGATTTCTGGTGTGCATTCATTCTGGTGCACAGTTGTTTGATTTCTCCTACGTATTTTCCATGAGGCCATTTGGTGCACTGGATGAGATGCATTACATTTTTGGAGGTACAAGATCCAGGAATGGTGATGGTTCTCTGTAGCGGGGTGTGGTTATTGGGGAAGTGGTGGAGATGTATTGGCAGGTTTTGCATTTTTTGTCCTGGCATGGTCTGGATCCACTTGGTGTGGTTTGCGTCATAGGGAGTTTGCTTCTGGTGACGAGGTTAGTGAGGTCTGGTGCTTATTTGAAGGTTAGAATGGGTGGCTCTGGAAAAATCTGTTTAAGAATTGGGCCTTTCTAGTATGGGTTGCGATTGTTTGAAGCTTTTCCATTTAGGTTCCAGGGAAGGGTGGTATGTCGTAACTAGCAGCGTGCGATTAGTGGGGATTTTCTTTTCGTACTGCAGCAAATTGTCTCATGGTATCCAGGTGGCTCTTTCAAAAGTACAATCCATCTTTGGAAAAGCGTCCTTGTTGGCTGAAGGCCCTTTTGAGACTTGTGGAGGTGGTGATCATAGGTAGTCTCCTCTGTGCAAATTCAGTGATATTGGCAAGCTTGGCTGTAAATTACAGCTTTCTTGGTGTGATTGCTTGTTCTGTGTATATATGCATGTTGGTTCATTGGTTTCTTATATATGGCGATCCGAATTTTACCATTTTGAATATTGATCATGGTGTCCAAAAAGGAAGTGCTGGCATTAAAGTACTGTATTCAAGTGATAGTCTGATGGAGGGGTGATGATGGCTGAATTGGTGAAAATCAAATCTGAGACTACAGGGTTTTGGTCCAAATGATGAAGATGTCATCTATATATCTCAGGTATAGCATGGATTTGATGGTGCAGTTCTTGAGGAACTCTTAGTTGGTCTAATAATGCCATGTCTACCCAAAAGAATCTCATCTACCTATGTCCTTCCACCAACACAGCTACAACCAAAAACACTGATCAAAAAAAAAAAAAGTCATTTTAGCTGTTATATAGTACTTTGTTCAGAATACTACAAAGAAAGATGTATCCTTTTTAGTGACAATAAAACAGATGTTTAATCTTTTGGCAAACTGTTTAATATCAAGTCAGTGGAAGTGTCCAATAGAACTGATGTCCTGATTTCCCATGTTCTGTTCCATCTATTGAACCCATCATCTTTTCTTTCCACTTGTTAATGCCATGTCCATTCCATTTCTGCTCTTATCTCCTGAAGGTGCCCTCACCTCAAACAGCTGCAGATTCAACAGCAATAGAATTATATTAACTAATCACACACACAGATGAAGATACCCTTGTCACTAGGCTGGCATCTTCTACGGGGAGAGGGAAGTGGTGGGGGGAAAGGAGTGAGAGGTGAGGGAGTTGGGGAATAGAAGCAATTTTGGGAAGGGGACAGGTACTACTGGAAAGGAGATGGGTATAGATAAGGACATTGCTAGTATGACCATCATCTCAAGGTAGCCTTTAACTAAGGGTTTACTTAAGGCTTTATTTTCTAGTTTATTTGGGAAACCAAATGGTCTCCTGTTGCACTTAGCATTAGCACAAGTTGCCAGTAACTACATAGTTGTGTTTCTTAAAGTTTTGAGAAGTATCTAAACATTTTTGAAGACCATGGTAAAATATCATATTCAATTTGTACATGATGAAATGTAAAGCTTTATGGAGCCATTTTCTATAGGACTAGAAAAGCAGTGTAGATTCTTTATACTGGAACACGCATACTTGTGTACTAAATACTGTGTAATTTGCAGTTTGAGACCAGTCTTTAGTTTATTAATACAAAACCATTTGCAATTGCTCAAGAGCAAGTTACTACAGCTACAGCAAATCAGCAAGGCAACTTAAAAATCTAGCTATCTTTGAGAAATGTAACAATATATGGTTGCATTAGCGTTTTTTTGTTTTGCTTTTTTACCTGTATGAGCCTGAAACACCAGTTTTACTAGATTAGCTTCAAAGACCTATAAACATTCCAGGCATATCAAGAAACATACACTACATATTGACAAGTAGGAGACACCATATACAGCTCACTAAAAACTTCAAACTCTTTCAGAAAGTTAGTGCCATGCAAACTTTTGTCAGTCCAACTTGAAAGACTGTAGTCTACCAATTCTCATAGTCCACACACCCCAGGGCTAAACACCATCCATACCCCATGCTCCCTTTCCCTCCCTGCAAGGTGGGTCCCATGTTCCCTCCCCCTCCCACAAAGGCAACAGGTTCCCTGGGCCCTTACAGGACACTTCATCCTACCCCAAGGGAGAGTGCAGGAATGGGGAACCTGGAGATCCCAGCAGCAACACAAACAGAAGTAGCGAGAGGACTGGCATCCAGACCACAGTCCGTAAGGCATGTGCTAACCTTGCATTCTCTGCATGCCACCAGTTAGATAGGCCTGCCTAAAAATATCAAAAATAGACTGCCTATATTTATTCACTGGAACACTTCATAACCATGAGTCTCACAGAAATCAGCTGTAGCAGAATCAGGTCTATTGACTCCATTTTCTTCATCTCTGCAGAGTTAGAGGCCTTCTAAAGTCCTAAAAGTTAGAAACAGTATGTTTGTAAGAGACTGAGCAAGGCAATAGTTTTTGTTTTGTGATGTCTTACAGGACCAACTATGTAGTTGAGAAGGATGTTAAACAATCAGTCACAAAGTGCCTTTCTTTACAGCTGGGAAAGAAGCAGGCACAGCTTGAGCTCAGTTACAGATAGAACAAGGGCCTGTGTATAACTCCATATGTAAGAGGCAAAAAGTCTGCTTAATCTCTTTCTGTACTCCAGTTAACACTTTACCCTCTTGAAAATTCTTGCTCTTCCACACAATTAGGTTACCTATTCAGCTATATTTCTCCTATATTAAAGCTACTCCTGATCAGTCGTCTTCACTACTGGTTTATAGCCCTCCTCCATCTCTTTAAGTGGACCATTTACTTAAGGACAAAATTTGTACGGCACAGTCAGTCCCTGAGACTGTTTCTGAGGCTTTTTGGGGTCACTGCCTTGGCCTGGCCCAGGAGGAAAACTGGCCAAGTAGATCATGCTCTCCTCAGCCACTTGGTATGAAGTGTACTCTGTCTTGGAGAAGTCCAAATCCAGTGCACCAAAGACAGCACTGAGAACAGAAACGAGCAGCCACAGCTGGGGGCAGTCCAGGAGAGACTTCTCCAACTCCTCCTCACAGAAAGGGCAGGCCACCAACACTACCGAGTACAAATGATGGATAAAAAGTGCCCATGGCTAGAGGCCCATGCAGCAGCTGCCATTTGATGTCATCACTTCTCTTGCCAAAGGACACTCCTGTGTTGCTGCTACTAGGTATCACTTTCACGTCACCTACAGGCAGGGAGATTGCACATGGCCAGAGAAATAGACAGAAATTGTGGCTGGTGAGGTGGGCCGGGAGGATAGGGGACATGTCTAGTGAGCTCCAACCATGGAAGGCTTCTTGTGTGCAGAGGCAGTCCTCCAGGACAGCAAGTGCATCCACAGGGAGGGCAGCTTTCACTTCAGCCAGGAGGAATAAAGCAAAAGTTGACAGGAGTACAGGCCCTGCTGGTCAGTCAGGGGTTCTGCCAAGAGCCAGACAGACCAGACTGAGTTGAAGAGGTGGATCAGCTTGATGAAGCTTGCAGAGGCTTGCCTTTGTGCTCTCTGCTGCAAGGCCAGGTTATGGACCAGGGGTTCCCAACAGCACTCTAGAAGTTGCAGGTATTTGCCTGGGGGTCTCAGTCAGAAGTAGGCCTGGTAGGCCCAGATGAGGCTGTGATAGAAAGGTGGGTAGGCATCCCAGCCAAGGCTAGTCAGAATCCAAGGGGAAAAGATCCCAATCAAGGCTGATGTCCTGCACCAAACACAGGAAC